AAATACAAAAACTAAGTTATCTTACCCCTATTTTATGTCGTGGAGAAAACACCCACCATTCATACACCATCCATTACATTCAATCATTTTTGTCTTGATCTCTGGAGATTCGACTTACATGGAAAGTTGGTTAAGCTAGAGGTGTGTAACCACCATCTCCGAAGGCAATATCAATTGCCTTAAGCCATCTCCATTTTAGTTGACTACTAGCTCCAATTTGAAGGGTTCAAATGATTAATCAACTTGTTTAAGAGTTGATTCTATAGTGTTCAGCACAATAAGCACCCACCGCTATAGGTGTTTGCAAAAAAAAAAAAAAAATCTCTGTACTCATTAAAATTATATATTTATATATTCTTCCCTATGTTAACTTATTTACTCTTACAAAATTATATTTTATTTAATTTTACTCATTAATAGATCACACACCATATGTAAATATTGAATCCACTTATAAATATTAAGTCCCACTTTAATTAACATTCAATGAGAACCCAAATGTGTTAGCTTAGTGGTAACTCAGTCACCTGATAAATCTCTCATGAGAGGTAGGTCAAGGTTCGAATAACCAACGAGAGTAGTCACTTGTGGCCATTGCCCATAGATTTTCTCCCTTGTGTGGAGAAGCGGTTTTACACAAATTTCAATATAATCTGGCACATGAGCTAGAAAATATTATGGTGATCTATTGGGACAGCTGAGATAAAAAAAAATTTCAATGAGTTTTACATGATTACCATCAACCATCAAATTGGACAATAAATGTGAAATAAAATCTGAAAAACAACAGGTGAGTGCTTACCAAACATTTATCACATACTAAATTAATTTTCATAAAATCTAACAACTTTTCATAAGGTCCTCAATTAAGTACGTGAAAAATCAGACTTTTAGAAGATAGTGACAAATCAATAATGAATTTAAATGAACATATTACCAATTAGGGGTGTAATTTCGATGGGTTAGGCGGGTTAAACCCTAGCCCGATTTTAGGTATAAAATTTTCAATCATAACCTTAATCTTAATCCTAATCTGACCTCAACTCAAAATACTCAACTCAAGTGCTGCCCAAGTTAATTTGGGGCAAACTCGAGCTGAATTTGGGTTACCCAACTCAAGTCCAATTTGGGTTGGCAATTCGGCCTCAAAAAATAATAATTATAAATTAGGTATGAGCATTTGCACAATATTTGACTATTACATAAGCTTATATAGCCCACTAAGATGAAGTCCATCAAAATAACTTATTAATAGTATAAAGTTGAACCTTCTTTATATAAAATTTTCAATCCTAATCTTAACCGTAACCCTAACTAGACCCCAACTCGAGATACTCAATCCGAATATTTTCCGAGTTAATTTTGGGCAAACTCGGTTTGAAATTGGGTTGCCCAATTCGGGTCCAATTTGAGTTGACAATTCGGATTCAAAAAATAATAATCATAAATTAGTTGTGAGTCGTTGCACAATGTTGGACTATTACATAAGTCTATATAACCCACCAAGATGAATTTCATCAAAACAATTTATTAATGGTGTAAGTGTGAGCCTTTTTTATACAGGGAGAAGGGAGAAGGGAGAAGGGAGAGGGGAGAGGTCATTCGAGCTGTGTATCTGATGTAGGGTGACAACTCCTTATTTTTCTTTTGTCTTTTTTACTTATATCAAATCGATTGTGTAAACTTCTTTCACCATCTATGATCCTTATAAATCATATTTCATTTTCACTTTAAATAAATAAATAATAATAATAATAATACTTATATACATGAATTCGGGTTGGGTTCGAGTTGAGCCAGATTTCATCATTTTGGGTTAGATTAGGGTTAAGCCTGTGAACCCGAACTCTTAACATAAGTCTTCCTCGAATTCAATTCAGGTCGAAGCTTTTGAACCCTAACCCTAAAAGTCTCAATCCTAACACTATTTTTTTTCAGATGGGATTCGGGTTCAGCCCAATTTCATTATTTCAGGTGGAGCCCGTAAATCTGAGTCATTAACTTGAGACTTACTCAAATTCAATTTAGGTTGAAACTTTTTAACCCTAACCCTAAAAGTCTCAACTCTAACACTATCTTTTTCAAATTAGGTTCGAGTTGGTTGGTTCAAGTTGCACCCCTATTACCAATCCAACAAAATTGGGCTCAAGTCTATAGACAATACATAGTAAACAATTTAACAAGGCATAATTTGAGCAAGTGAATTCGAACTTAATTTAATTGAAAATACTTAGTACTTACATAGAGATATTAGTAGTTGTATGGAATTTTAAAAAAATAAAAATAAATTTTATTTGGCATAGTGGTTGGGTCAGAGTATCGAGTTTTTAGAACCAACCTGATCTTACTCACAACTTCGTGTTCAACTCAAACAAAACCCATATTTCAACTTAAAAATTGTGTAAACATAGAATTAAACCAAAATGGTTGCATGAAAGCATGTTAAACAACCATTTATTTTAAAAGCTTAAACTATTGGAGATAGGTGTAACATAAGTATTTATTTAATACTCCCCTTCACCTGTGGCTCCTCCTTGGGTGGTCTATTCGTGTGAGTGTTTTCATTTTTTTCGATAGAAAGGAGCCCTGGTGAGATTTGATTTTAGAATCTCTAGGCTCTGATACTATGTTAAAGAATTATCTATTTCAAAATTTTAAGTTATTAAAGAATTGTGTAACATAAATATTTATCTAATAAGGATGAATTTTAACTTTTTAAATATCTAAACACAAACATCAAACGGCTCAATTAGATTGAGGAATTTTATACCTTGGGAAACTCCGAACTTATCCACCTGAATTACGAGTAAATATTCAATGCAACGGTAATACCATATCACTATTGATGACATGATATCACCAACCAGTAATAAAATCTCAAATGGATAAGGTAACCTCACTTGGGTTTAGAGCATCTCCAATCCTAACTCAAATTTGGACTCAAATTTAAATTTGAGTCTAAATGGTCAAAAAACCTTCTCCAACCTCGGATTCAAACCTATACCAAATCAACAAAACACTTATTTTGCACCCAAATTGAAGAAGATTCAAATTCTATACCAAATTTCAAATGATAATTATTTATCTTATCCAAAGTCAAAAGACTTCTTCGATAACTTGTTCTCTGCCTTTTTTTCCTACTCTCCGCTACGTTGTTTCTATTGCCAACCGCCACTAAAGCATTCACAGATCCTTTGAAAACCTATAGGTAAGCTTCTTCATTTTCATCTTTCATCTTCTTGATTTCTTGTATTTTTCAAAACTCTAATCTCATCTATCTTTCATACTATATAAATCCTAAACCGACCCATTAAATTTGTTTTTGATTTTTTTGATTATAGGCCTCCGTTTCTTCCTAAAATTTCAAGCCTTCATTATCCAAAAATTTAGAATATTCATCTTTTTATTTCTTCAATCATTCATTTTTGTTGGAAATAATCCATTTTTTGTGTTCTTTAGACCAGATCCATATCAAAGTAAATATTTTTTTATTTATCTGGATTTACAGAAAAAGATAATGGATTAGAACAATCTGAGAATTCTGGGGTGATTTTTTTTTTTTTTTTGTTTCGTTTTATTTCTAGGTGATGTTGTATCCATATTAAATTTTTTTTGAATTACCCATTTATGGAGAGATATAAAAGTTTCATTTATTTTATGAGATTTCATGATTTGAATGATACAAAAAAATTAGTTTTGAGATAATAAAGAAAATTTTTAAAAAATTTGAGTAGATATCTGAGTTTGCCAATTGGAGTATTCTATACTAAATTAAGTTTTTTACTCAAATTTGAGTCATGGTTGAAGATGTTCTTGCATGGAAGAAGAGTGGGGAGTTATTTACTTATATGATAGCTCAGTTATTAATTTTTATGGGGTCTATTTGTTTATTGTTTTAATAATATTGATTAATAATACCAAATTGCCTTGTCATGTAGTATTACAAATATAATGAATATTTTCTCCCGAATCACACCCCTACCATTATTGTCCAACTACGGAGAGCTCATTAGCAAGAAATTCCAAATAAATTAGGTAACAAGACCGCCTAATGTTCAGCAGTAACCCAATTACATTGTTCTAACGGGCATAATCACCATGCTTTTCCAGGCATTACTTTTTCTTGATTAGTTCATTTGGATTATGACCCTTTTTTTTGTCAATTACCAACCTGGGTGAAGTTAATCCAGTCAGAGACTCTTTATCTCTTTTTGAGGTAACAAGTACCCTTCTCCCTCCCAAAAAAAATATATATATATTTCAATTCTAAATTTAGAAATTTTATCCTAGATGTAATATTTTAATTGTACTTATGTTTCCCATGTAGTTAAGAGATTCCATGCTCTAACTTTAACATCATAAAAAAATCGAGTCTGGCCTTTTTTTTCTCGTAGATGTATTAAATTCCATCACCATTGTGTTTTGCCTTATCATTAGATTTTCAAGAAACGATCATCATAAACTAATAAGAAATTCCAGATATTCTGGCAATGTAAACCAATCGAATTAAGCTAGACATCAAAAATTAATGGCACATCCCAATATTACCATTCTTAACTTGTATTCCGTATAGGAATTAAATTACAAGAATAGATTACTTGGAGTGAATTCTAACATTTTAAATTGATTTCAACTTTGAAGATTAGTAATGTAACTCGATTAATTAGAAAGTTGACCAGAAAGAATGGTAACTACGTGTTCCTTTTGTTAATTATAACTTTTAATTTCATACCTCTTTCAATACCTTAATCGTACTCCAACATCAATACAGAGTAAATTCGGAAAACATTTTAACTTGGTGCACCCCACAAAGAAAACCAAACCACCCTCAATAGAGAGAGAGAGCAGATGAGCATGCAATTAAGCATTGTTCCAGAGAAAAATCTCTATGAAAAAGGTTCATATTATTGACTTAATAAATGAAACAACAATACATTGCTTTGCTTCCATACAAGAAACCATCACTCATGGTTGAGACTTGAGAGGTACAACACACTAAATCACTGAAGATGTTCATGAGTGATTCGAGAACAGCTATAAACAGAGCAAAACGCTTGGAAAGTCACCAACAACAAGAGCAGAATAGCAGCAAACAGTGAGAGAAACTTCCATGACTGAAACACATAAGCCTTCATGAATTTCCCAGCTTTAACCGTCAATTTACTGCCATGATACTTGTTCACATCCTCAATCACTTTATCCAAGAAGGGCACTTTCGTCAATCTCATAGACCTACTCATCCCATTCCACAGGTTGGCCACCTCTTCATCATTCTTCAAACGATTCACAATAATCCCTCTCTGTCTGAGTAACTTAGCATCCTCCGCCGTATCAATAATCCCATTCATCAATTCCGTGTAACGAGTGAGAGCCAACGGTCCAGATGCATTACAGGCTTCATAAGCAACCAAGTTTCTCAAGATCACCTCTGTATTAACATCTATATTTATGGTGGGTAGGTACAACGTAACAGTTTTACAATCAAACCCTAAATTTAAAATGCCACCATTAGTGGGTGAAAATTTCACACCAGCTTTGGAGAGTTCTGTGACAGAAGGGATTGAAATCTCCTCCACCAATGGAGGTTTTCCAGTGCTGTTCAAACTACTACTGTCATTTACTGGCTTAACGTTTTCTTTATCTTGTGGAAAGCATAAACATTCAGAAGCAAGTTTAAAGACTTTGAATCCAGGAAGGTTAGAAATAATTTTCCATGGCAATTTTAATATGACTTGAATAGGTTTTGAAAATACTAATCTCTTGATGAAACGTATCTTAACATGACCTAATTTCATAATTAACTTCCAAACCTCATCAACGCATTGTTTGATGTAATTTGCCTCCCCCAAAATGTTACTTTCTTCATCTTTACCTTCACCTTCCTTTTCTCTCTCTTCCTCGACTTCAGTTATTTCCGATGGTACTTCCGATTCCGGCACGATTGAACTGTACAAAACGCCTAGCAGGTGAACATGCTCCCAAACTCGAATATGTGGGTGTTCTTCGTCCTTCATCTTGAATGGAGAGAGCTCTCTACGGAACCCAATCAACATTGAAACCAACATGTTATCTGCTAATTCTACTGATGAAAATTGAACTTCTAACATCTTTCTCAGTAAAAATGATGGAATTTGATTCTCAAGCATCACCATATCTCTGAGAATGGCGTTGTGTGCAGATTTTGCCCCTGCAATATCAAGCAAATGTGACATTCTTGATGAGACACTGGTTAGTAACTTTTTGTTACCTTCTTTGATTGCAAAGATTTGAAGAAATTCAAGCAAGAATGAAGCATCAACGGCCATCATCCAAGCCAACGTTTCGCCATTGAAATCGAGGTACGTGTGGTAATAAGCACGAGTCTTAGGCCCATACTTTACGAGCTCTTCAACAAGTTGATGAAACCTCAGGTTCTTGAGTTGTTTCTGGATTCTTTGTGCTGCTGCGAGCTTATACCTCTGCATTTCATAGAGCTCGGGACGCCAATAATGGTACGGGCCAAATGCAACTTCTTGTGGAATGTAACAATCTGGTTTACTAGCCTTTAGGGTTCTTGGGACGTGGAAGATGCTGACTGGGATTTCTTGGGTTTTTTCTTCAAGGTCTTCGTCTAGGGCTTGACGAATTTGAATGATCCATTGTTCCTCATCAAAGTGTGAACTTATGTTTGAGTATGACTTCATGGCAGATGAAAGAGAAGCCATGTTTGTGGTCTGAGGTGAGAGTATTTTTTGAAAGTGTGAGGAGTTTTTGGTGTATTGAATGATGAGAGAGTTAAGAAGAGGCTTTCAATTGATAGGTGTAAAATGAACAGCACTAATGGACTTTAAATAGGGTTTACTCTACGTAATTAGAAACCGTTTCTCACATTTTCTTCTTCTTTTTTTGGGTTGCGCGTTTCTCATGTTAATTTTTGGAAAGTGTCGTTTCCACAGTCTACGCTTTGTGAAGGAAAGTTAGGCAACACATGCAAGACTTCCAGTATGGTGTTTATCCACGTGATCAAAAACACAAATACGTTTTAGTTTTAAAGAATTCCAATAATAAATTTGAAATATTTATTAAATAACATGAGTATATGATACATTCTCGCAACCAAACCCACAACCACTTATCGACCAAAGTGAATCTTCACTCCCTCACCTCACCCCCAGTATTCTTCAAAATCATTGTATTCCATATATTCGAGTCTCCTCTACTCCATTTGTGAAGTATATTGGCCCACAAGACAAGTCCTACGTTAGGTATTTTTTGTTTTTCACAAATCTACTATTCTCTTTGTTAAAAATTCTACTAGTCGTTATCATGCATTTTGATTCTTTCGTTAAGATATTTTTCTTGTAAGATTTAATATAAATTTTAAGTTTTCCTCACTTCCATATTAATAATAGAAGAGTTCTAAGACAAAAAAAGGGTAAAATACATTTTTAGTTCCCAAAGTATGCATTTAGTATTTATTTAATGCCCAATCTTTTAATTGTGTCTATTTGGTCCCTAAGATTTCTAATTTGTATCTAAGTGGTCCAATTTCAAAAGTCGTCAGAAAATTATTGGTGGTTTTGGTCATGCGTCAATCATGTGGTTTCTAATTTTATGTCTATTTTGGTCTCTAAAATTCTTAATTTGCGTTTATTTAGTCCTTAAATTGCCTAATATGTGTAAATTTGGTCTCACGTGATTGGCGCGTGACCAAAACTGTTAACAATTTTTTAACGAACATTTGAGAATAGTCTACATAGATACAAATTAGAAATTTTATGGACCAAATAAACACAGTTAAAAGATTGATGACCAAACAAATACAACACGCATATTTTGAGGACTAAAAAGGTATTTTGCCCAACAAAAGAAAACTTATGTCAACACACCAAAACTAATACTTTCTCATCCCTTTGAAGATTAAAATCCCATCAACTTTTTCAATCAGATCTACCCATCCAACATAGGATAAACATTTGAGTTGTAATTTTAAAATTTTATTTGAATTTTTCAATATTGTTCTTTTACATTTGTTGACTCTCTCACACCCACACAATGAATGTCTTGACTTTTGTGTCTTATAAATATCGTATTCTCAAATGAGGCGTGGGTGACTTCCATGTGGAACAGCATTTTCATGTGCAACCGTCCGAATTAATTTTCACTTTTGTTTTCGTAATTAGAGTATTTTCATAGAGCAGTTGGAGACAGACAGCCAACTACTTTTGATCCGGTCAACAATCCACGCGCCCGAATCAATTCGTGTCGGGTCAAATTAATTTACCTATCATGCCTTTGTTATTTATGTCCTGTTCCGATGACTTCTTTTTAAATTCAATAAAAATTTTATCTTTCGCATTTTGACTACCTATTTCTATCACATCTCGAATTTATATTAAAAGTTGAATCACGTAATTGTGATTAATTTGTGACTCAACATAATTTTTATTTTAAACATTGTTTATATATATAATTTACACATATTAATTTTTTTTTAGATCTTACTGATGATGCACAAAAATAGTTTTGCACACCACCCGTCAAGTGTAGATAATAAATGTAATGAAATCAATGAAAGAATTAAAGAAGACACAATTTATAGTGGTTCGGTCAATTCGACCTACGTCCACTCTTCAATGGCTTCAGTTGCCGGGTATTTTATTGATTCAAAGGTATGGAGAATGGAGATACAAACTTTGAGAGAGAGAATGGAGAATCAAAGAAAAATAGTAATCTCCGGTAGTCGGTTCGTCCTCTGTATGTCTCTGGTGGGATGTGTTCTTCCTTTCCCAGATTAGAGTCATTTTATAGTAGCTAAGAGATCATTCTTGTGGAAATCATGACATATCCTCAAGGCTTCTTTATCGCAGCTCAGAGATTATCCTTGGTGGAGATCACGACTTATCCTCAACGTAAGGAGGAGGTTGGGGGGTTCTTCATGGAATGTGGTCAAAGATTGGACCGTTTCCTTCGGTGGTGCAGATAAACTTCCCATGCTCTCCTCTTGGTGACGTGCTAAGCAAGAAGTCTAACCGGCCTTGGACTGTCTTGGACTTGGTGGATTTGGACCGTTTCCTTTGGTGGTGCAGATAAACTTCCTGTGCTCCCCTCTTGGTGACGTGCTAAGCAAGAAGTCTAACCGGCCTTGGACTTGGTGAATTTGGACCGTTTCCTTTGGTGGTGCAGATAAACTTCCCGTGCTCTCCTCTTGGTGACGTGCTAAGCAAGAAGTCTAACCGGCCTTGGACTGTCTTGGACTTGGTGGATTTGGACCGTTTCCTTTGGTGGTGCAGATAAACTTCTCGTGCTCTCCTCTTGGTGACGTGCTAAGCAAGAAGTCTAACCGGCCTTGGACTGTCTTGGACTTGGTGGATTCACAATGAGGTTGGGCTCCTCAACCGGGGTTGGACTTTAATACATAAATTGGACTATTTGGGCTTAACCCATCATTTGCCCCCCAATGCCCCATGTCCAAGGAGACTTGGAGAAGGAGGCATTGATTACATTTTTTTTTTTTTCAAGTCTCTTCCACTTTATTTTAAATAAGGCCCATAATATTTTGTTTGGCCTTTTTGTTTTGAAAATGGCTTATAACTTTCTTTTTGGTCACTTTGTTTTGAAGAGGGCCCATAATTTTCTATTTGCCTACTTTATTTTGAAGAGGGCTCATAATAGTCTATTTGGGCTTTTTTCCTCTTTTTGAAAAACCCTAGACTATAAATATAGTCTTCTTCTTCATGTTACCATTTCACTTATTTTTAAGGTTGAGCACCCACCTCTTGAAAATTTTGAGAACTCAAGTCCTACCCATTTTGTTGAAGCCAAAGTGTGTGTTCTCCTTGAATCTTTTCAAGAGTGTGATTTCTTCCTTGCTAGTTGAGCTTCTCAAGTGAACAATGTCGATTGAAGAGGGATTGGTGGAGGTTGAAGAAAGCTGTGGATCTGAAATTGAAAGGCTGGACAGCGAAGGGGAGATGGGCAGCGCGAGGAGTGGCTTGGGCAGCGCAGGGAGACGGCTGGGCAGCGAAGGCGCGCTGGGCGCGCTGCTGGGCAGCGCGCGTGAGCGCACTGGGGGCCTAGGCGGCTGCTCTGCGCGCGCTGGGGGCCTGGGCAGCGAAGGCGCGCTGGAAGGGGAGATGGGCAGCGCGCGCACACGCGCTGGGGGCCTGGGCAGCTGCCTAGGCGCTGCTCCTCCTGTCCTGGACAGCCCAGGCGCACTGGGCAGCTGCCTGGGCGCTGGCCTTGCTGTCCTGGACAGCCCAGGTGCGCTGGGCAGCAGCCTAGCTGCTGCTTCTGCTTCTGCTGTCCCGGACAGCTTCAGATCTGCTGCGCTGGGCGGCTTTGGAACGCTGGGCAGCAGCATTTTTCCATCGAGGGGTGCTGAAAATCAGTCCAAGGTTTGTCAGGGAGAGCTAGGCAGTGGCCTGGGAGCACGGGCTGATCCGATTCTCACTCGAGGTGCTGATTTGGGCGCCTTAGGTGCTGATTTTTTAGCCGAAAATTCTGCTTTGTGCAATATTGAAGGGTCAAGCACCCTTCAAGCTACTGGGCAACTTTGTTTTGATGAGCAACAGCAGTCAGGCATACTTTCAGGCGTTGGGCTAGACATTGCAAGTAGTAGGGAAGCTTTGGGTGCTGCCCTTGATGATCAAGCCCTTGTTGTAGTTCCCCCGATTCAAGTTCTTCAACAAGGGTTAAGATTTCTCATGTCCTCCCCTATTTGTCGAGTTTTGCATTACTTCTCCTTGACCCCGGGGCGACTAGCGCCCAACGGTTGGAGAGTCCTGCTCGGTTTTCTTGCCTTATGGAGAAAGGTGCACCACGAGGATGCTTCCCCTATGGAGTTTCATGCAGCATATAATTTGAGCGAAACCCCTACACCAAATAGGGGATGGTACTATTTTACCGCGCGGAGTGGTACAGTGCTTACAGGGATGCGCTCTAATTGCGGCGGCTGGAAATCTTGTTTCTTCTTTATTGGTGGAGAATGGGCTTCAGAAGCCGACAGAGTTTTGGTGCCAACACATTGGGGTGCTGCTAAAAAGCCCGGTATGCTGCACACTTCTTCTTTTTTCCCCTTTTTTTTTTTGTGTGTGTGCTCACTTTTTCTATGTAGATATACCTGTGCTTTCCCGGGACCAGGAGTGAAAATTGGAGGCTGTCAAAGCTTGCCCTTGTAAAGATTTGGGAGTTCTCCTGCCCAAGTATACTAGAGCTGTAGCTCCATCTCAGAAATCTGGCAGCTCCTCTTTGAAGAAAAAGGGTGAGCTAGTTTCCTCTCCCCTTTCTTTTTTTTTTTTTTTTTTTTTTTTGACCCTTCTCTATTCTTGCAGCGAGTAAGAGGGTGGTGGTGTCCCGTTTTTCTAGCAGGAGCCCTCCTTCTTCCAAAGCGATAAGGACAGATGATGCCCCCCATGTGGCTTCCACGGTGGCTCCTTCTCAACTGGCAGCTTCTCCAACTGCTGCTCCTCCAACTGCTGCTCTAGAATCTTCTTCTCCCAAAGTGATAAGGGCAGATGATGCCCCCCATGTGGCTTCCACAGTGGCTCCTTCTCAACTGGCAACTTCTCCAACTGCTGTTCCAGAATCTTCCTTGCCAGGCACATCTGTTCCATCTTTATCCTCTCCTCGTGCTACCCCTCCTTTGTCTCCTCCTTGTTCAGGAACTTCTACCCAAGTGCCGATTTGGGCTGGTTCTATGATGGGGAGACCAGCAGCTATCAGG